TAATGTGCTCCTCCTGCTCGAGCTGTAATTAAATTTACAGGACGAGCGGCTCCTCGGACGATCTGTGCTGCTCTGGGAGACTGGGCCCAAATCGCTCCTCAGTGTAGACACACTGCTTTAACTAGAGCAAGGGGGCCACTAGCGATGGGATGTGTGTCTGTGTGTGGAATACCACTCTCCCTCACGCATACATACTGGCTCTTAATGAGCTGGAGATGAAATTAGCTTGCCGTCTACCTCCCCCAGTGCTTACCTCATACTAACTCTCCTATTAGTGTTGATGAAGACACCGCTAGAAAATGATGACAGACAATGGAAGGGTATTGCTCATGGCAGCTCCGGCGTGACCGGGCCTCATTGGTGGTGAAAAAAAAAGTAAGAAGGTACAGTTTGTAAATGAATTTTGACAATAGAAATGGATTAGAAGTCACCTTCAAGCTTGATTCAAGCAAGCAGCTTTGTTCAGCTAGCCTGGCCGTTATGTTCTGTTGTAAATTAAGCATCTTCTTTCTTGCATAGACATAAGAACAGTTATAAGAGCAAGGAAAAGGGTGTTAGGTAGTAACTTTTTTATTTTTCTGTATTTACATTTGTTTTGAAAACATTTGAAAACACAAGGTGCCCTTTACATTGGCATGAAGTGTTTCATGGTAGCATTCCATAACACTTGGACCATTAGAAATTACACGAACTCTTATTACATTATATGGCTCATATTTGGAAAACCTAATTTTCCTGGCTTTTTTTAAATAAAGGAGTTTTTTCTCTTTTTCTGCTATGAAGTTACTTTGTGGTAACATTGATGATGAGAATTCCTTTCTCTGAATTAGTGGTGACAAGAGCTGCTTTCCAGTTTTCAGTGTGCGCTGGAAAAAAGGTAGCACAAATACTACCTGAAAGGCTGCTCTTAATGTACAGACTAAGGAGCCTTTCAGTCAAGATTCATACTACCTTTTACCAATAACCCATAATCAGCCCAGCAATTAAAGCCGTCACAAAATAAACGTGCTTATGTTTTTGGTCAGAAACTTAACAACTTGATTATTTTGTTCTAACTTTTGCAAAGGTTTAAACAAGCCTGGTCAATTGAAATCAAAAATTGCTGATTTTCTAAGTAAAAATAAGTTAACCCCTCTCCAAACCCTAAATCTAAATATGGCTTTTTTCATTTTTGTGCACAATTTCTATTTATTTGCAGGGTTTAACAAGTTGGAAAAAAATAAAACAAAAAATATAAAATGTGCCAAAACCTTTGCACAGGCAGTTTTTTTTAATGCTAATATGTTAAATTCAGCAAATAAGCAGTAGTTGTGCATTAAAACATCCTTTCCATAGAGGATATATTAACTTATTTTCATGTAGAAAATCAACAAAACTTGTAATTTGACCAAGGGTTCTTACATTTTTGCATAAGATGCTTTTTTTTCCATCTTAAAACTACAACGTATATGTTTTATGACCTTTAAATCGTCCAACTTAATCAGCCAGGCCATCACAGTAGATGCAAACTATCAGTGATTTCCAAAACATTTATATTTAGTTACTATCAGTGATTTCCAAAACTAAACTGTTATTCGTTACTGTGGCACTGCCAGACTGCAATATGCAGTCTATCCAGCCTGTAAAGTCGGAGGCAAAGAAGCTGGATACACGTGCAATTTTTTTTTTTTTTAATCTTGAGTCCAAGAACTGATTAGCAGATGCGAGCAGAGATATTGATGGTGAAACAAATGAAGCAGAAGAACAAATGAGAACAAACTGCAGTAAAACACAGAACTAAACACAAAGGAATACAAATCTAAACCGAACAACCTACACCGGGATGAATATAAACTAGCAGCATGACAAACAAACACAAACACATGGGCTTACATTGGCATTGTAAGACAAAGGGACTGAGCAAACACAGGGGTATAAATACACTGAGAAACAAGAAACACTTGGGTCTAGTGAGAGGGCGGGGCTACAGACTACACACAGGTGAGACAGATAACAAGGATGCAAGACAGGTGAGGAGACAGAAACCAAAACAACAACAAAAGCACATGGCTAGGGACACTGTCGCAGTGTTTACTGTATGCTTTCAACATCCTGACCAATCAGAGGTCCAGACGAGAGTCGTTGGGTGTTTCAGTCAACATTTTAGTTAAAATGTTGCAGGCCAGTGTGGCTTTAACCATATCACAGTACTAGTTCATCAGTGCCCTTTCAGCACATGGATAGGCGCATCATATTCACAGTATTTAGCAATGTAATCACATTGCTAGTGTTTTGTTTCTTTTTGTAGTTCTGACCTTTTTTGTTTTGGGAAGGAATGTTTGCAGGTGTTTATTATGAGTAGCCACGCCTGCACACATACCATAGGCACGCTTTACTTTAGAGCAAACTGACCCAGCCACACCTGCCCTTGAGGCATGCTTCACCAATATCGTCCAATCCGGTCCAGTCCTGAATTCTTAGGGGAAAAATAGAGAAAAAGGTTAAAAAAGAAGAAGAAAGAGCAAAGTGATGCAAAGGTAGGGGGGATGAGGATGTGTTTGCCTGTGGAAGAAACCAGTGAAAGTAGGCTGGCGACAGATGTGCAGGGCAGTAAAAGTGTAATTGAAATGCCAGCAGCAATGGTCTTATCTAGCCGCTACAGGAGCTTGCCTCGCCTCTGAACATCAGTTAAATGTCATTTTAGCCCTGCCTGATTCAGCCCAACCACAATCCTCTGCTTCTGGGACTGCAGCCGCTGCAGATGGGGAGGGGAATGGATGGACGACTGGGAAGAGAGAGAGAGGGAGAGAGAGACTGATGGGGAGGGAGAGGGGGTGGTAATAGGATTTCATCTGCACACTGTTAACTTCCACCACCTGGACTTAGTTGGTAATTTGATACGGACCATCAATAAGAGTCATTACAGCTTGGTTGTAGACTTGGTTATATTATTATCATAGTTATTTATATATGTAAGCCTGTCTTTTTTTCTAGATGACTTTAATCAGAACACTGGCTTAAAAAGGCAGTGCTTATATGCACCTATGTCTGTACATATAGGTGCACATGTGTTTGTAAAGGGCTCAAAAATGAAATTACAAAAACTAATCAGTTCACTTGAAGCAGAACCAGTATTTTACTCCTCCCATTCTTGTGTTCAGACCCCAGCATGTCCATAAAGCAGTTAAAACAAAGCTAAAATGAAATTAAAAATATAATTAAACAGTATTATTAGTAATTATTATTACTAATTATTATACTTGGCATTTGTACTGATAAGGACACACATAGGCAATGGACTTGATTATGATCAGTAAGTTGCTCCAATATATAGTTTTAGGATAGCTCATAGTAATTTAGTAATTTAGGTGCTGCACTCACTGTCTATGCTACCCTAACAACTAACAAACAACAAACAGGCTTGGTTAACTGTCCATGGTGTTCTTTAGCAGAACATGTTTATGGTGTGCTTAGTTTTACCTGGGTTCATTCATGAATTGTGTGGTGTCAGAGTTCTGAAAGACTGGAGATGCTATAACATAGCTGTAGCTTCCAACTTCAGTCACTGACTGTGAGCTCCTGAGATGTTGCAGACCAGTTTTGCAAAGTTTCTGCATAATTTGGTTATTAAGACGTAAACACAGTCATTGAGTTTTTGTGCAGTGTATAGAAATTCACAGGCTCCAATGTTTTAACAGTGGTGAGAGTAGGAACCAGGGGTCACCGTTCAAATGACCAGTGAACCTACACAAGTTTTATGTTTAATGTTGATGGTGGTATAATAGTGTTAAATCTGGAAAAAATAAAGTTTATTTTAGGGACCATTTTGCCTCACAACACTCTGTTTGTATCTCACTACCATGAATGGCTTTTAAAAATTATGTTTTTGGCCAAAACCTTATTTCATAGCTACTAGTAAAACAGTGACTTAGGCATCTGGCAACAAATTCATAACTATTCTGTGTGGTAGCTTTTAGATGCATTAAACACACTAATTATGATTTGGTAAGTAACTCTAGAATGATGCATTTCACACCAAAGCACTCTGAATGACCACATTTACTATCTTAACCATTTAATTATCCAGAAACTTTGAAAATCATTGGAATTCCCTTTTAAGATTCATGTGACGTAATGGGCATGGGTTACATGATTAACAGGTAACAGAGATCTCTTATTATTAGATATTATTTCTGGTCTGGGACACTGAAAACGCAAGCATGTTGTGTTTTCAATTTACTACCAAGTTTCCTGATTTTATTTTTGTTCTTCAGGGCCGTTTAAAGTTTTACACTCTATGAATGTTCAAGTCAGTCTTGTCTGGCTGTGTAAAGCTGAGCTCTCTCTATGATTTTTGTTCTGCTGCTGTGTCTGTTTCCAGCTGACCCCTATTTCACTTGAAGCAGACATGCTTCCTGCCTGCATGTATGCGGCCTGAGCGATAAGGGATAAGATCCAATCTGTTCTGCAGTGCAGTGCCAGACCTTTACTGCTGCTTTTGTCTTGCTACATCACATTAGTGAACTCCCATTCAGACCTGTTACAGAGTGTTAGTACTCTGCATCAAAGAATAAGAAAACATGTTCACACGTAGACTAGTAGGCCAGAGTTCACAGTTTCATGGCGTTCCCCGATCTCACTGCCTCTTCCCATTACCACTCCTCCACTGCCATGCATATATTATACATATTAACATTCCTTCTACATTAGACACACAGTGTCACAGCACGGGACTGTTCTAACACGTTTACTCTCACAGCACATTGCTTTTGCATTTGCTAAGTTTGAAACGTACCAGGCGAGATAACAGGTGTGCTGTACATAAAGTGTAAAATAACCTAATGTATGGCATCAGTGTTAATTAGACTAGATTTCCCAGCAGAGGCAGAATATCTCTTGGCAAATTTCAGATCAAATGTAGTTCCTTTTCATCTTATTAAGGTCAAAGGATTTAAAATGTCTGCGAGCCTCCTTTTTAACTTAAAAGCTAATGAAATTTTTTCTTCATCTTCTGCTTTCAGAGGGTGATCTTCAACATCGTAAACTTCAGTAAGACGAAAAGCCTCTACAGAGATGGGATGGCCCCAGTGGTGAAGTCCACCAGTCGGCCTAAGTGGTACACGCTCTCACACCCGCATAAAACATTAACCCTTCAAACTGCAAGGATCTGTAGGAGGACCACACTCTAATTCCTCACTCTTATAACTACATGGCTTACATATTAGTTTCGTTATATTTAACAGAATAATTGACCTGTCCAAGCTCCTCCCAGAAACGCTTTCTTTCATAGCAACTGTTGCAAAGTCGGACAGAACTTTGGCAAAAATGACAGTTAACATAATGAGAAATAGCATCACACTTTGTTGAGAGTGACTATCAGAGGTGAGTAGTAACTACTTACATTTACTCAATGAACTACATGTACGTAAGTAAAATATTGATGGATTTGTACTTGTCTGAGTATTTTCAAATTATAATATTTTTACTTCTACTGAAATGCCGATGAATTTGTTACTATGCTAACATAGAGCAGCCTGACTGCTTTATCTATCTATCTATCTATCTATCTATCTATCTATCTATCTATCTGTCTATTTACATTGTTTTTTAGCTCCCTCAACACATCTCACAATTACTGTCTGTAAGTAATGGCTTTATCTAATTTCAGGTGTCACGGGTTTTACTGAATTTTGATAAGCTGGTTTTAACTACAGTGCACCACTAAGCTGAAAAAACAGAAAGTAGTCTTAAAACTAACACTGTTTCATTTTTTGAACTTCTAATTTCTAATTTTTAGTTTGTAGTTGTTTTAGTTTTTACTGTTTTTCACAGAGTTATTATTTTGTTATTGTCCATCTCTAATTTACTGTTGTATTATTTTTAATTTTTTTTTTTAGTTTATCATCACTCTTAGATAAAGGAAAAAAAAATGAAATCAAGGTTGAATGGGATTTTTCCAACATTGTATAACGCCCATCCACACTGGCAGCGGTTGCTATGAAAGAGCACATTTATGGGTGGAGCATGTATGGGTCCATTTAAAGTAGCTACTGAATAATGACATTTACAGAGAGTTAATTTACATTTATAACGATTCTTTATTGCTTAACAAAGCTGTAACTTGATTCGTGGCTTGTTTATGTCTCACTTGCGATAAAAGTGTGGCAGCCTCGTACTGCTACCATTGCTAACAGCTTCATCTTCACCACAGAAATAGCTGATGCTTCTTACTTTCTTACAATACGTCAATCCACATATAGGCCTATTTCTCAAAGAACATACACAACACATTTACAATCCTGTGTCTCATGTTCTGGAGGAGGGTTTATGTTCCTGTAATGAACGTGTCTCCATGGCGATGGTGGCTGGAAAGAATAAGGGACCAAGAGGGGGCTGTTGACTGGAGAGTTCTAAGTGATGGTGGAGGGTTACTGATCTTTGTTCTAAATATGGACAAACCCTTTATTTGGTGGCCATTATATAGAGTACATACAGGTACCATTTCCTCTGAAGGCTTCTTTCTAGTGCTCAGTGCAGCTAGAGATGTTTGTGTGGCTTGTGACGTTTGTATTTTTGTTTTTATTTTCATTGAGGGATTCTGTACCTTTCTGCATGTTTTAATAGTGATAGTGGCTTTTATCATAAACAAACCCACACACAAACACACAAATTTGCCTAGACAGGGGAAGCTGAAAGAAAAGTGCAACCCCCAGGTTGAATATATTTTTAGTTATGTATTCAATGTGTACTCGTGATAGATCGATTTGAAGATAAGATCGGATCGTGTCTTTGATGTGTAGTTTCCTGTGTACTTCATGTATGGTTTGTTTGATCCCTTTGTCTAATTTTAGACGAGGTTTTCCCTCACTGGCTTGGCACTCTGAGATAATTGCTTTCCGCAGTTGTGCCCCATAGCCTGTGCACTTTTTGATAACTTTGAAAGAAAGTTGAACGCACACACAGACTTTCACACATGCACGCATTCACCTCCTATCAGTATCTATCAGAGCGATACTTTACCATTCAGATGCGGAGATGCCAGGCTGTATTTGCATGGACCATGCTGCCTGGGCAGGTGAAGCCTGTCAGGGGTAATAGGTGGGAACTGATGGATTCAGAAGGTTGTGTATGCGTGTGCTACTGATGGATGGAAGGGTGTGTGTGTGTGTGTGTGTCTTCTGGCGGACGTTGAGGCATGCGTTATTTGTGACGTGCGGAACAGGGGTTACGTGACGAAGTGTGCCCGCTCAACAGAAGCCTTGACATCTGTCACGAGTCGATCAAGGGCGCTCCGCCACACGGCAGGCGTCTGCCACACCAGCCCGTCTGCCTTCGACCAGCCTCGCTCACGGCCTAATGGGACAAGACAATTAGATGGAGATGCTGGTGGAAAACAATAGACTGCAAGACATTTCACACTCAGCTGGACATGTTCCATGGCTCTCTCAGGTGTGCAGAGTGGATCATGGCTCAAACTGACACAGGCAGCACATTCAAAGTAGAGATGGGCATGGTTATTCTGATATTCGGATATCTGGTCTGCTAGGAAATTTAGGTGCCAGTCACAGGGCACAGTGTTTGGAATGATTCTGTTTGCCTGACAAATGCCAGTTAGCGATAGTAGTGTTGCACAAAAACACTTACATTGCAGGCTATACGAGAATGAAACCGTGAATTAAAATGTATTAGAAATGTTTAATGCAACATGTTTTTACATATTGCCAAGGCTTTTACTACTTTGTTCTATGCAGGCATATTTTTGCTGTTATGACTGGCTCTACAATCACCTGCCGCTATGTGCCATGCTGCATGCTTGATGATTTCGCATGGTGGTCAAATGAATGTTGCAAATGGGTGTACAAAATAATAGAGCCATCACATGAACTACTCATATTCACTGGACTCGTGATCCATCATCCAAATAATCATCAGGTCAGTGGTGGTCCTATGGCATTGCTTTCCATTGATGGATGGGGCTGAAATAGTTAAAATGCCAACTCCTAACATTGTGTAACATTGCAGCAAGACTCCCTTTAAAAGGGAAAACTGCTTTCTTCAATTGTAATGATTTACCATGAAGGTTGTAGGTTTGATGCCAACTCTTCTAGGAGGAAGGAACTGTGACATTTTACAGTATTTATCTGATTTCCATCTGCATTAAGGCCATTGTGCCGTTTAAACATTGCCATTTTTCCCCCATTGACCTTCAGCCAAAAGCACCAGCCTCCATTTACAGCACGTGGCCTTCAAATGAGGCATCCACACGTGCAGACTGACCAATGGAGAGCACTTATGTGTACAGATGCCTCAGTTATAGTCATCAAAATGATCGGCCCTGCTAATCACACCTCACACTGGCCACCACTTATGAACACACCCTGCGCTTTACACAGACTGAGCCTGAGGCGTGTACGCACATACAAGAGGACTGACTCTTTTTTTTTTTCATCCAATTATAGAGGTGTAAAGAAGCACGGTGTGGGCACAAAGAAGGGCCTTCAACATCTACTCATGCACACACACACACATATACACACTTGATAATTGCTGAATGTGAGAAGGAGCCTTATGTCTTTGAAAAGATTGTGAGTAAAACACAGTTGAACCCAGGTCAGAGCGAGTATTCGGAGGCGTGAGGGAGTTAATGTGGTCATGCTCTTCTGTAACAAAGTGGATAATCAGTTCAGGAGAGGAGCTTCATTCTGTCACAATATCTCCAGCAGTTCATGAACTGTGAGGAGAAATTTCTAGCAAATGTTCTGTCCTAATTTAAGTTCTAACACCATCATTAATGACTGAGTGCAGTTGTTTTTATTTTTGTTTTTTATTTTGTATTTATTTATTTTTTATTATTATTTTATTACATTTTTTCAGAGGCACTATTGTCGTGTCACCACATAGCTGATATGATTTCAGGAAAAAAACTAAACTGACTGTTATTGAAAACCCGTGTGAATGTTTATTGTGTTAAATAAAGTGTACTGAGTTGCTACAAGCTTTAGCAAGAAACACTAATGTCTTGCTAAGATGTTATTTTTTATTAGCATGACGTGCACATTAATTAATCTTGGGTAAGGTTTACTAATGTCAGCACTGTCAAATTAGCAGCCTTTCATCAAGTAAGTAGGCTAGTAGCAATTTAACAACTACTCCTCTAAAAGACAGGCATTTCAAAACAAATAAAGCCAAAGATATACATAAGAGGGCAGTCACAGATTTCAGTCTCAAAAAGAGGTTTGTAAATAATGACATTCTCATGTATAACCATTTATTTTTCACTTTTTTATATTCTTGTAGAGCCGGTGTCTTAATCTGCTCGCTGTCTTCAGTGTAGAGAAGTAGCTAATATGAGCTGATGGGTCAGACTGTGTCACTGTCACAGCAATGCAAACTAGAAACAGGAGTTCCCAGTACTCGTTTCCAGTTTTAGTCAATATCCAAAAACACCTCTCCCTCAAACTTTGAATTGAATTAAATTAAGTTGTTGCAACATTTTTGTCATTTCTTACATCTAAACAAATGGAAATTAGTCAGAGGTGCAGACCTGAATCTGTTTATTAAATTCAGCATTTCCTACATTAATATGTTTAAAAAAAAAAAAAAAACATGGTTTGAATTTGATCATGTCATGAACACAGTGCAGTCAGGGGAGGCAGAGAGTGAGAGAGAGTGAAGGAGGCAGCGGAAGAGTGAGCAGCAAGAGCAGCGCTTGCATAAAGTAAGCTAGCTACTACATGTTACTTGCGAAGTTGTTTGGTCCTGAATTTGTTCTCTTTTAATCGGAAAGAATGCCTAATATTCACTTAACAGATGAGAAATATTTTAACATGAAGCCATGTGAGGAGAAGGAGGATTCATAGCTGAGGTACCGTGATGTTTGCATATTCACAGAGAAGTGCCCTGTGGTCATCAAACAAGCCTAAACCTTACTGAAATATGGTTAGAAGAAATGGCTGTATTTTAGAGAACTGCATTTTGGTCATTTTAGTGGTGATTATTTGAGTCTAGCTCATGTCTTCATTTTCAACGTGTTTAGACGGTCATGAAACACTTTAGTTATCTGTTATTCTCCTGCATAGCTTATAAAAAATGGCTGGTAGTAGGTTGTAGTGCAAT